GATAATTCCACAAGAGTCGATGGGGATGTGTTGAAGTCTTCAGAGCAGTGCGTGGGAAGAATTCCGGTTGCGTACCGGGCTTGACGTTTTGTCTCCCCTCCCTTCGATCGCTGCGACTGCGCGCTCCTCAGGTTGGAGGTTGTTTCCTTTCTGCCGCGGCGGGAGGACGACCGTTTCTCCGGAACATGATTCGCTGGCCTCTAGATATGGGCTTCTCGATGTGGCGGAGATTCGGAGTAAGGTGCGCGCGCGCGTGTGTTTCTATTTGAGCCGTCACGTACTGGACACAGCATGACAGAGAGGGGGCGGTGTCCCTTGAATGCCCAGGAGCAGATTGTTTTCTGGCAGGATATTCACCGCAAACGACACAACGGCGTATCTATGTCCTGGTCGAAGAGCGACCCAGCTAGGTACATGCAAGTATTTGACAGCGTCAAGTGAGCCCTGGTGATTGGTCAGCGTCCGCTTTCACCCTGCCGCGTCCCAAATTGCCCGGGGTATACCGTGCCACGGCTACTCTTCTTCAGTCGTGATCTTCGAAGCGTACCTTGATCTGACGGCCTTTCATTGACCGTTTCCTTCGCAGGAATCCGCCTTGTTGTGCGGAGTATTCTAAATACGAGTCACGCTCGGAACGCGACCGATCCAGCATGGTGGCAAGCAGCATGACTGATATGTAGATCAAGAACATGTAGTGCGGATGTATGTGTGGCGGCGAGCTCGTGGCGGTGGAAAGGTGGAAGGACAAACACACACACACACACACACACACACACACACACACACACACATACATGCCGAGCGAATAATCGTGGAAAGAATGAGCGTACTATCCTTCCTACAACAGAGGTGCTGCAAATTATTCCACAGAATTGTGCTGGAGGAGCGGAGGCTTTATGAACTGCCTTCTGAACCCAACCCTGGTGATGGATGTGCGGGCTCTGATAAGAATGGTCGGCATTGATGCGTTGGCGTGGACCGACTAGGCCGGTAACTCGTGCTCCACCACTCGCTCCTTCCATGATGATTCGGTCGGCGCGTGTGCGTAACCTATATATTTGCCCTGAATCACGCTGTGCTAGAGACGGCAGCGCCAGAAACAATTGGGAACTGGTTCTTTGATCGAACAAGGAAAATTCCACAAGAGCACATACCGAACTATTAGTGCGGTATAGAGTCGAGAATGCGGAATCCACTGTTTTTCAGCACAGTGTAGCCGCCACGAGACGTGGCCTACACTCAATTGTGACCTGCCGCATAATGTGAGCCCTTGTGTCTACGGAATAACTACGGAGATAAGTTTGAAACATAATAACCGTCATCTTACCCTCATTCTGAAGTGGCGATAGCCGGTTGCGACGTGCCGATGTAGCTATATCGTTGTGAGATGGTGCCTACCCAGGTGTCCCTGTTGCACCCTCAGGTAACCTCTGACAGTGGCCAATTCTTGGGACAGGAGTGAGGGTAGATACCGTACAAATGATCATACAATATTGCTACCTGGGTCTATCCAACTGACATTCGTTAGTTCGGCGGTTACTTTTTGTGTCCTCGAAGGGAGAGGCAAGGAAACTCGAAACTGAGCCCCCCCCCCCCATGCTTGTTTTTCCAGGACTTGATGACGGTGGTTGTCAACGGGATTGGAATGACCCTGCTATACCTGCTCCTTGGAGGGTTGTGGCTGATGATCTCCGACGCTTGGAGCTTCACCGAAACTGTGTATTTCATGGTGCGGAAGTTTTTCCATGCCTCTCTGGTGGTGCGGGTGTGCTTGCGCTTTGGCTGATTGAGATTACTGAAAACCGAACCGAAGAAACAGATGCGGCACGAATACACAAGCCACGAATGCTCTGTGTGGTGCTCGACGCAGGGCTTGAGGGGCAGGGGTGGTAGTTGCTTGCTTGCCGTGCGTTCCTCGTTTTTCTATCTCCCACCTCTGCGCTCCATCTAAGGAAGAGATGGTGTTCCTCTGTAATAAGAAATCGTTTGTGCAGCAGGGGCCGAAACTCCCAAAAATGTCCCGTAGAAGTCTTGTCACTCCCGAAAAATGAAAATACTTTTCACCGAGGATCCAAATCCAGATTCTCATACGGAAGCGAGGCCGGCAAGCTCTCATGAAGCTAGAGCTCGTTTCACAGGCTCGGAGATTGACTTGACAACTGCGCACTGCACGGAGAATTAGGACTATATTAAGACTGACCGCAAACAGCTTTCCCCGCATCTCCGCGAAGTCGGGTGTACGTCCGCCGTTGGGTGTTACCACCATGCGGTGGCGTCGAGTCATCGACTTTTGCTGGAGTTTTGTGTCTACTTGTCAGTTTGTAGACTATGGAAACATGAAACGCGTTTTTGTCTTTTGCGTTTTTTCTGATGCATCGAGATCTCCCACCTGGATCTCCCACCCTCGATGGTTTATCTTCGTGTGATTGATCGGCGAGTAATCAATGTCCTTGCGTCAATTCCCTTCCCTGTCCCTGCGCAAGAGCAGTTTAGCAACACTTTGCGGGTGTTTGCATCCTGTCATTCCTGGGCGCCTGTCGGTATGATGTTATGTGTCAGCCTGGGTCACACAGGAAGAACGCAAACGCAATATCGTTTATTTTTGCTGCGGCGAGAACAGCAGAGACAAACGAGACTGAAGGCTCTGCAAGGTTCGCTACTCTTGTTGTTTCACCGAGTTCTGTGGCAATCATAAAAAAGAGATGACATTCATGCAGGACATGCCTCCAATAGAAATGAAACTCCGATGCTTGGTGTGGAACAGGATGCGTTGTCACCGTGGCTAATGACTAAGCAGCCATCCGATTTGTTGAATCATACGCATATGACAAGCAATACTTGGGCGACCTCCCCCCACCCCCTTCCCCCACCCGCCGAAACCGTTGATTGGTCACTCCCGCGCCACAGACCACGTCTATGCTAACAATCGGATACGGAGATGTCGTAGTCCAGGGTGCGGATCGGTTTCTAGATTCCTTGCTCATCGTTCTGGGCCTGTTTTCGATTACCATTTGGGCCGCCTGTGCCAGCCAATGGTTGAGCTCCGTCCGGTCGAGGCGTGTTGAGGGACATGGACGTGAGTGTGTTGTTGTCGTCGTCGTCAATGTCGCCGATGCTGTCGTTGTCGCCTACCTCGTTGTGGGCGTGTCGTTCTACTAAAGGCGTCCTCGCTTTGCTGGTAATTTTTGTCATCGGTTGAAGTTGTGCGTTCTCCGTACATAGGGCGAGCAGATGTCCTTGACGTAGCTGTACTCTCCGCTAGCACGTATCCTCCTTGTTCGTACATGTGACGAAAAAGCCAGTATTGTCGGGATAGAGTGAGGTATTGTCTAGCTGCACCCGATTTTTTCGCCCATCATCCGTGTCTTCTACGTGATGGAACATGGGTATCAATGACAGCACGTGGTATTTTCTGTATGAAACTACATGCCTTTCCTATTTAGTCGTGGCTATCATACCTTTTCCGCGCGATCGAAAAAACCCCAACGTTTTGGACCCGATTCACCCACCCCTCCCCTCCGGTTCACTGCCTGCCAAACATTTACACGTGTATGTTCTTCGCTATCGGAATTCCGTGGCTAACGTCTTCTAGCCGTGGCTGAGTTTGACGCTGAGCTCTCCATCCGAAAATACCGCTGGAAGCTAATCCACCGGCTCGTCATTCTCTTGGTGGTGTTCGTGGTCGGTGAGGAACGCGGTGTGCTGCTCAGTTAACTTCAGGGAAATGAATAGTTTTTTTTTCTAAGAAAAGCCACATCTTGTTTGCTAGCTATGGTACGAAATTCGACGTAGGTAGATGCTGACCTCCTATGCCGCGTGACCCTCCAAAGCGGGCTGCGTACTGCACACTGAGTATTCCTCCACATGGCCGTTGGGTTCAGTGGACACGCGTGTATCAAACTCTTGCGGCAGGAGCAGCGAGGCAGCAGAATGAGAACTGCGAGACCTTTTCTCTTTGTGGGACCCCAGAAAACCGAACCAAGACAACCGAACCAACAAGCCTCCAGGGCAGCACAACAAGAACCCAAATACATACGTCGATTTGCGAGATGTTCCAAATCCTTCCGTTCACAATAAACTCCAGTTTATTCGATCTTCGACAACAAACTTTCATCTTTCAGTGAGGCTCTCTAGTTCAGTGTTGTTTGAATGCCTCATGCGTGTGCTGTATGCCCAATCGGTGTCGTTTTCCCCTCGCTGCTGCCGCAGTTTGGAAGGCCCGGGCTACGCTTTCATGTTGACTACGCGTGTTTAAGGAACGCTCTCTCTCTATCTTCCTCTGACGGCGTCGTACCCCGCTGGCTATTTGCTCCTCCTCCTTGGTCCCTCTTGGTCGCAGGCGTTGTCGCGTTCATGCTTGGGGAGGGGGCGCCGTTTACGACCAGCTTCTACTGGGTGATCGTAACCTCTAGCACCATCGGCTACGGAGACGTGGTGCCGACCTCCCCGGCCATGAAGTGGTTCACCTCGTTCTATAGCATTGCTGCCACTGGCGCCATGCTGGAGACGCTGCGATTTGCGGGCACTTTTCCCTTCACAGTCTGGACATTGAGGGCGGAGGCAAAGGTGGACTATTATAGGCCTTCGAGGCTGGGGGCGTAGGACTTTTGAAGCGTTGTGGGTGGATTCGCGATCTGATTGTAGTTGAAGGAGAGTCGGCAGTGTTCTTGGAATGTCGTTGTATCGGGTCGGTTGAAGTTTGACGGCGGTTTGGTTGCGGTTCTTGGGGTTGGCGTTGGGTTGAGCGCGATCCGATCAGGTTGGGTTGAGTTTCTGAGGAAGAAAGGTGCCAAGAACGGTGCGCGATCTCGAAAAAGGATGTTTTGTCCGTTCTCACAGGATACGAGGCAAGCCATCAATCAGTTCGCTCTCCCCCGCCCCCATCTCCATGCATGCGTGTCTGCGACTCCGACGTTACTCTTCTCCGTAGGTGTTCGGCCAGTTCTCCAGGAGCGACACCGCCGCGGGGCGGGCGGCGGCGGCGAGTCTGGCAGAATGTGCCATAACCGAACTCCTGGGGATACCACCGGAGGAGCGGCCGGGCGGGGTTGTAGGCAGGTAAACATTCGGCACACACAGGCAGAGGTTCCCGCAGGAATGCCTACCCATGAAATCGGTCGGTGCGTTATTTTTTGCAGGGCCAGGGAGCGGTATTATTTCCGACCGTTGTGGGTGGTGACAAGGCCGTTTTGCCTCAAGCTACTGAGACGAAGACGGCCACAGATTTGAGAGGACGACACAGCAAATGGCGGTGAATACACGCCGTGTCACACGTTTAAGAGTATTCGCTCATCAGTTGAACATTTATTTTGTTCTTGGTCGAGGTCCTGCAGACTGCAACCTGGCCAGATCAACCGGACATGCAGGCCGATCTCGTGAACCTCACTGATGGGCTGTAGTGAACCTCACTGATGGGCTGTAGTGAACCTCACTGATGGGCTGTAGTGTGTTCGGTTGTGAAACCAGCAGACCGACAGGTCATTCCCGCCATTTTCGCCATCACAAGCATTTATATCTAGATTCGTGCAAACATGAGTCTTGTTTTGGGTTGTGAACCCGGCAGGCAGCGGGTCCGACAGGCCCGGCGGGTTCGGTTAACCTCACGCGAACGTTGTTTCGTGATTTTTTTTTCATTGTGATTTTCTGCGAAACGAACACCACCAGGTCTGACGTGGCACTCTCCATGTTACTCTTGCTGAACCGAGTGAGCTATGACGACGTTCAGGAGGTTTCCAGAATATATGGTGAGCCTGGTTTCTGTTTGTTGTACAGCTGCATCCGTGGAGAATGTGCCCCCGTACATCGTCCGATGTTGAGATGTTGAGAACTTGCCCTGGCCATGCGGGACAACAGGAGACAGTTAAGTCCCTCGTCCCATGTTGCACCCTCCTGATTCCTCCAGACAACTTGAAGGCAGATCGTGAAGAAGCTGCATTGGCGAGGCCACCGCTCCAAGTGCAGGCGGGGGTTGGGTCACAGAGATCCTGAATAGAGCTGTTGTATCGACGGCAGCATGTTGTCCGTGCATGCACCACACTAGCGTTCACTGTCGAGGCGGTGTTGCACGTCGCTCATGCTAAGGCGTGCGCGCGTACGGGGCGGTATCTTCGTAAGCAAATAGGGCCCAAAAGCAAAGGAGGCGAGTGGTTTGCAGCAAGGTCCGCTTGTACGGCGATCTTCCCCATTCGTTTCGGTGCTGACGAAAAGTGGCGGGGGGAGATGTGCTTTGGTATTGTCTGTGAATTTCGTGGTTGTACCAGGTTCGTTCGGGAAGCTGATTTGTCAAATGGTTCGAAGCTTCACGAGGGAAGCATATGTAGGGTTCGCGGAAACTCACACACAGCTGCTGCAGGCATCTCTCCTAGGTGGAATGAAGTTCTCCATATACAACGGACATCATTAGGATTATCTTGCCCATGCCGAGGTGGTACGTTTGTGTAGGCACGCCTTGGGATTCCCATCGACGGCCATGGAAAATACGGGGACACTGTAGTCTAGTTAATATTTTCCCCGCAGGGTCCCCCAACAGGGTTTTTTGTGCATGCGTAGAGACAGCAGTCGACAAGAGTAACGTTTGCGCCCTTGGGCATCATGTCTAGATTTACTAGTCGTTTCGCTTTTCCCCTCTAATTGCCGCGCGGTGAAGGGGTATCATGGCAGAGAACCTTGTTAGTGTGTACAGAGACATTAGTGTTTCGCTGCCGGCCCTTGCTCCGTACTTCGCACACACCGCAACCTACAATAGATACAATACACACACCGTACGACCATCTTTCGCCCCCCACGTCATTGCACTTGCTGCCTCCGACATTCTCCTTTCTGCCCTTCTTTCCATGGGAAACTGTCAAAACCAGTCTACACAGCACAAACAAACTTGGGGGAGATGGGGCCCCAGAGATACCACACAGAATACCACCAATTAGTCACGCAACATCTACGATGATACATCGGGAAGTCCGTGCACACGCATTGAAGGATTTCGGAAACTACATGGACGAAATAGGGCAGACCAAAACGTGCGCTATCGCGGCACCCACACGCACGCGCCCCCAATATTACCCCCCTCCCCCCCGTTCACGAGGAGTTGAGGCTAGTCTCCATCCCGGACAGCCTGCACCTGAGAAGGAGGTGATGTTGCAGCGGTACGGAATCCAGCGAGCAGCGGTAGTCAAGAGGGAACAAAGGTCCGCGGGCTCTAACCGGAGTCTTGACACTCCCGTCCGGTTGCCTTCTTGCTGAACTCTGTCATATTAGTACCCATAGGACAGGGAAACCTATGAAAGCTGCAAATAATCCATCGGTCATCCGGCGAGCGTGGTCGTCTACGGTAAAACATCGTAGAAGATACAGAATCGATATAAAAATGTACGGGGGGAAGGACGGCGATTGATGCGGTTTGGACAAGCTTCCAACGGGGTGAACGGGGATCCAGACGACATCTTCCAGCGACAGGTCGGGACAAAAAGCCGAGCGAATGCGGGCAGGTAGGAAGGCGACGGTAGGACGCGGAAACATGTCAAGGAGTTACTGGTACCATCATCGATTGTCATTCGATGCAAAGCATTCGTGTTTGTTGCATTCGAGGTTACAAGCGTTCATGGATTTGTTTATGGTGAACAAGGATAAATCAACGGGGGTGGTTAACGTTTGACGTACACCGGTTGTATCGGGCTGCGCCCATGCTGATCCGCCCATCAAGTAGATGAACTCACATGTAGCCGTGTTGCATGACTGGGGTATGTCGGCTGTCCACATCAATAAGACACACCGCCATTGCTGTCGGTTGTCGTGCCGGTTTCGCCAGAGAAATAGAGCAGTCGTTCGGTTGTCCGAGTTAATTGATTATGGTGGCGGGTGCGGAGGCGCGGTTCGCGGTCGCCGACGCGTGGCGGCGAAGGTGGATTGGGATGTATCCACGGCACCGACGGCAACGCAGGGAAAAAAAAGAGCATCGGGGAAAGGGTGGGGTGTGGCATGTGGACGGTGTGACGATAACGTCAACGGGGGGACGGAAGGAGGGCGTGGCCACCGAAGCGAGCATCACAAAGCAACAGCGCCCCCCCCCAAATCCAACAGACAGCAAACTGAACAACAGGTGCAAAGAACCGCAATACAATACGGCAAAAATTCACGGACAACGCCGTCGCTACAATTACCACCACCAGCAACGGCAGCAACACCGGTAGCAACACGCGATGCATGCCAACAGATTCCTGTCGGACTATACTTGGACGCTGGGCATGTACACTAAGTTATGTACAACTCGGTTAAAATGTTGTACACCAAATTCAAGTGCCATAAAGGGTTCGGCGGCCGCCGATCACAGCCATCACGTCCGGACTATTCCACCAAACCCGGCCAAAAAGCAAGCACCGGCCTAAATGGGTGCCACGTGACAACCCAAAGGAAGCGCCACCCAAATACTGCCAAAAGCATTCATACAGTATCGCCGAGGTGATACTGACACTAAGGGGCTGCTCGTTCCGAGTATCGAACTCAACTGTTAGCATCCACGGCCCGGTAGGTGGCGTTGCTGACAACACCATTGTCGTCCCGGAACGATAGCGACAACACCGCGGCTGCATGGCTGAAGTCTCCCCGACACACTCGGCCTAGATAGGGCCCAAAAGGTAACGGTTGGGAGCAATGGTAGGTGAGTGGCAATCTTTGAGATAATTCTCGTTGTGGCGACGAGGATGGTGATCGGGAGCTTCCTAAATGGAAAAAAAACAAGTACTGCCACAATGCATGCGAGGTCTGCGGGACGGCTGGTCATACCGCCGAACAAGTCAAAAGTTAGGTGTATCTTCGTCGGTCAGATGGTCCGTGCTTTGTGTCTTAGGAACAACATTGAACTGCGGGGTGCCTTCACGAGGCTCACCAAACCCACAGGCACGGTCATGCTTGTGATCCGTTTTGGTGTCGCCGATACACGTCGATGGACGACCAAAACGATCAGGATTCGACGCCAAATTCGTACCCCAACACACAACGGACATACCTGTCTTCTGAGACCGCGGACTACAAGCACTGTAGCTTTTTTCAATCCGCACTGGCGTCTTTCATTGGCCACCCGGTTAGTCCGATTGATGCAACATCAGAGAAAAAACACCCAAGCGTTTACGCTGGTCAGGCCACCATAGCTGTTTGGGGCCTGTTTCCTTGTTTTATTCTTTGTTGAACTGTGTGGGCCAAAGACGGACTGGTAAACGCCTGCCTCTCTCGCTCTCTCCAACGGTTGATGTTTTGTGCGTTTTCTGGCACGTATCTTGTCTCATGACACAGCTCACAACACTCAAACTCACCACCGTCCTGAAGCAGTACCAAACCATGTGTTTAGTTCCACTTTCACTAGCCCTCACCGTTGTAATTCCACTCCACGCTGGTCTCCCCGCAATCCTCCTGCTCCGGGAAGAACTGCATGCTGTAGCCAAGCTTGGTTTCGTCCGGGGCGCTACCGAAGCGCCAGTCCAACATCCTAAATATAGTACAAGCGCACGAGACCAAACATGAAAATACGTGCCACAGACCATAAAACAAAAAGAAATAGCACGAAGCGGCAAACGTTTCCCCCAGGAAGACGAACACAGCCAACACGGAAAAAAACAAGGAAAAATCATCAACGTAAAAGAAAAAGCTCTTGCACGCAGCTTCCCTTCGTGGTGTCCTTTTAAGGAACATAAAACCGAACGTTCGTTTCCCGCATCGGAGAGGGAGGGAGCGACGACAAACACTCCGTGTTTCCCCGGCCCGGAAATCCCATTGCTCCTGTGACCCCATTCGTTTCGTGGTGTCTTCGGGTGTTCACCAATCGCAGTACGATAGGCACGTGGCGAGTTGCCGTCACGTCGTCAAGGACAAAGGGCATGTACCGCAGCGGAATAGCTCAGTGGAGAAGGAACAAAGACTGCGGGTTAGGCACAAATCTGTGAGTAGCGACAAGGCGCGATGATTGTAACCAAAACAAGAGAGGAGCGAAAATGTGCCTAACGAGATCGGAGCTACATTCAGCTCAATGCTTAAAGAAGTAGACACGAAACGCCACAAACGGCAGGCGGCCGCCGTAGGTGACACGAGATACCATGATGACATGTGTGCGCAAAAACAAGTGGCACTCGATGTGGAATTCTGTAGGGTGGTAGGTGGAGAACGCTTTCGCCCTTTCGCTTGATATGATCGTGAGCCACAGGCCTGTATGGTTGTTTTCCAGAGGTAGCTGGGTATGGTACCTCGTGGCACCTACACACGATGGGCACAGACGGCGGAGCGGAGGTGGACGAGTACAACACGTCGATAAGGACTCTTGAACACGAGAGAAGAAAGGAAAGAAACCTGAAGGAAGAGCGTTCTCAAAACCACACTCACGTGGTTCCCGGCTCCATGGCAGCATCCTGACAGGGCACCACCATCACCAGCGAATTGCTGCACCAGACGCGCGGCCGAGCCGAACACAGAGAGTCGCATCACACCACCCACACGCCAAACGGAGATGGCAACATGCGGAAACAAGCGTATGTCGCGACTGACTGAGACGACTCTTCGCACGGGGAGAGTCGGTCGTCAAAAAAACATTTTGTTCTCCGCTTTTTTACTCTTGTCAACGCCAATTCTCCGCCCGAGCGCGAGGCATGGTGCTCGGCAGCGCGCATCGAACATCGCCGCCTTTTCCCCCTTCTTCTACGCACCTCCGTGCGAGCTTGCCGTCTAGTGCACCTCTTGTGCGGATACGGAACGAACCATAAGGTTGGTGCTGTGAATGGTACCCCAAAGGCGTTTCCCCACCATTTCACTCTGACCAGCAAAATGTGCTGCTGTTTCCTCGCTGATTCTTGAGTGCTGCCAATGGTGCTGCCAATGGCGCTGTCAACGGTCAGCCCGTAGGAGCGGTTGTTATACACAGAAAACACCCCAACCAACTGAAAAAAATACCGGGAAGCGTTTGCATGCGGTAATGGGAAACTGGTTCGAAGCCTGCAATCATGGGGGGAGTCCGGCGGGTAAATGCACATGATGAAATTGGGGTGGCACGAAAAGAAGATCGATGTTGACGTCAACGCAGTGTTTGGCCAATGGTTGCATCTTGCTGAAAATCAGACCAGGCACCGACCCTATCCTTCAGCTAACAACACACACATACACACATTCGGCCACTGATCCACCAAAATCGAAAAACGCGTGAGTGTCCAGCTTCTAACTTTGCCAAGTCTGTGGGGCACCCAATCAGAATCAAAAGGTTCACTATTTCCGCCTAGATCAAAGGGAAATCGTACGAAGCCGTCGTCGTTCTCTAGGTTGGATTTTGAAGCAGTGGATATCTGCTGCGACCTCAAAGGGGACGCCCACCTCGTTGCTGAGAACACCCACATAACAATAATAACACCGAGCGATATGAATCCTGTGCAGAACAACACGCGTTGGTTGCGCAAATAGAGCATGATCAAGGGACCCTCCATGTTGAAATCTTGGAATCACGTGTCAATCTTGGTCGCGGGGGGGGAGGGAGGAGGCCTTACATGTCCCGGGGGAGGGATATGTTGACCAAATCCCCGGGGTTTCGACGTTATTAGCGCGCTCTTTTTGGCGACCGCGCGCGGGATCCCACACAGAGCTAGTGGGAATCATGGAACACCTCCAGGCTACGAGTTAGTCTTGGTCGCGAGGAGGGCGGGGTCTATTGTATGGTATAGGAAATAAGTAGACGACACTAAAGCCTGTAGAAAACAAAGAGTATTATAGGAATGCGGCACGAAAGCCTATGCAATGAAGGGTATATTGGTTTACTATGGACACACATAAATCCTATACAGTAGACTGCTGCAAGTGAGCCGCCTAAAGCGGCTATGTTGCGTGTCAATCTTGCCCGGGGGATGGGGGTTCCACGGTTTCTACATGGAGGGCCCCTTGGCATGGTTGTTTGCTTGAAGACGATATCAACAACATCAGGATGGGTGGGGGACACTCAAGGTCAGGCGTGAATTTGCCAGTTGCTCGAAGAAAAAAACATAAGCGGCTCGAATACCTAGTCCGCACGTGCTGAAACCCAGGACCAAACTCTCTCCACTCCAGATTCCTCTTCCATGAACCCAGCAGATACTCGTAGATGTTGTCGTCCGGGAGTCGGTACCGTAGCTGCGAGGGATGTGTTGGGCGCGGGATGTTGTTGTTGCTGTTGTCGTTAGTGGTGGGTTGTTGTCGATCGTGAGCATGGCGTTACTGTTTAAGTTGTCAGCATGAGTGAATCTGTGTGTTTGGTTGAACAAATAAGCGCGGCAAATTTTTAGTCATCTTGGCGGGTATTCCTGCCACCTCTGTCACATTCAACCCGGCACGTATCTTGCCACACGTTTCCTCAGCCGCAGTCACGTCCTTCGATGAGATCAACCTATGTTCACTCCCCTTACCCCCCCCCCCTCCCCCCGGAGCGCGCTCAGTTGTCGGTCAGTCTGGCTCCTTTGCTGTCGAATTTCGCCGCACGTTGTCGACTGGCCTTCTCTTCGTCCTTGTGCCAGGAGATATGAACCTCTCTGCCCCCCGTAGAAGCCCAGCGTACTACGGCCCTGCCCTCTTCACCGTCGCTGCTAGAGTCTAGAAGGCCCAAGGAAATCTGAATGTTCGCCGGCTGTCTTCCGTAGATCCGCGCTGAAAACTTGGCAGCCAGCCCTCACGCACTGTAGTCACCCTTACCTTGGGCATCCCTTCCCCCCCCCCCCAACAAGCTTCACACCCACTACTCGTCTCGGGAGACGCCCGTTCAGTTGTCTGGCCAAGGCTCCTTCGAAACGCAGTCGCCATACCCGAACAGTGGCTTCCAAGCCTTGTCACCCAACATGAGTGTAGGAGAACTGTCGGTGGGGCCACTGCGGTGGTACCCGAAAACTGGTACTCGTGGTGTATCTTCCGCAGCAACCAATGTGGTCGCGGCGCGGTGCCTTCGTGATGCACCCACACAGCAGTAGAGCCTCCATCGCTTCCGTTTTCCGTAGTCGGGCCTTGTCTCTCCACGGAGCTGCTTGCCTGTCTGTCCGTCTGTCGAAAACCTTCCGGGGGAGCTTCCGGATGCCCGACCACACTGCTCTCCTCCGTTGGCTGATGTCCTGTATAAACTCGTCATTTTCTCTGACACAATCACCGGCGGTCTGAGCATATTTGTGCCCCGCTGCTGCGAGCACCAGTGGTGCCGGAGGTGGTTGGGGTGGAGCTCCCTTCGTTGGATGCTTTACCGGTACCCGCGTCAGGAGAGTTTCTGCCTCCTTCTCCCACTCTCTCACGCCAAAGGCTCCAAACCTTTCCACGATATCCGTCACCACTCTGACCAGCCCCTCCGGATGATGATCTCGATACGACGTTAGGGTCATCGGTATGCAGCGTCCCCCATACCAGCCTCCACACTTGTTCCAGCGGTGACACTGCCCGCACTCTCGTCCCAGGCTCCTCCCCGAGGTGTACCAGATGCGTGAGGACCACGACGTCCTCGCTAAATCACACGAGAGTGACATCGATCACGACCGCCGAGAAACGCTCGACAGTAGCGGAACAACGCCTCCTTTTCGCGACCTCTGTGTGATCTCCAACCAGTCCGGGAGCTCTCCGTCGTCCATGCATTCCCAGGCTTGCATGCCGTCGTGTAGTTGACGGATGACTGCTGTGATATTTTCCCATGTGCACCAGTGCGAGCCAGCACTCGCCACAGTAGCTCTCGGTCCACCGAGTCGTAGGTCCTCTGGAGGCCGACGAGGCACACGTAAAATGGTACACTCCACCGCCATCCCAGCTCCTAGGAGTCGACGCACTACGAACTGCATGTTGATAGTGGAGTGACCTGGCCGGGCGCCGCATTGCTCGTCCGGTAGGATGTCGTGAGGTTCGCAGTAGTCGCTGCCACGTTTGGCGACGACATTCATGAGCACCATGCCTTAGTGCGAAAGGAGTGAGACCCCGTGTTGCAATTGTGAATAGGTCCGACCCCTAGTAGAGCACCTTGGCCGATGCGTCTTTCCACTCTTTCCGGACCTACCCTCCGTTCCACACTGTCGACGAGTGCGGCATCAAAACCTTCGAGAACGATGGGCTCGTGGGGGCCATCGATTTTAAGGAGCTCGATAGGGAGGGGGTAACGGCCAGGCGTCTTCCACTTGTGTACCACTGCCATTCAAGTCTCTTCCAGTCTTGTGCCGACCCCAGATGAACCGAATTCCCCGTGAATGCGACCGCCCGTCGTTGCTTCACCTCCTCCATGATGGAGTCAGCGTCGAAGGTTTAGTGTAGCGTTTGAGGAGCGTGCCGAAGAATTTCTTCCACCATGAACTTCGCCCACCATTACATACCTCATGTTTCCCTTAGCAGGACCCCGTTCTGCTGTCCGTCAGATGCCTCTCGCTAAGGCCCACCGGTCTGCAAAGGTGTTCGTGCAGGTCTCTCACACGGCTCTCCTCGATATTGCTTCTATGTAGCCTTGCCACTCAAATCTCTCCTGGGCATGGATGCCGTCATGGACTGCTGTTTGTGCTTGCACGCGGTATGCATAAAAACTGTACTTAAACTACCGTAGAAAAAAAAGCGAACAGATATTCTAGTCGGCGAGCTCCCTCGACGGGAGGGGCGCGGAGGAGACCGGACAGCTTCTGTGTCGGTTTCTCCAACTGGCATCGACCGTGAAAACCGGCTGGCAGGCTAAAGAACCGACCCCAAGTCTAGAGTCTCAGAGCCTGTGCGCGTCTCTCTCGCGATTCTTGAGCTGCTGCAGTCTAGCGTAGCAGCTCTGCTGTGCTGACCGACGGACCGATGAGAGCACCTCAAAAGTCTAGAGTCTGTTGGCAAGAGCGAAAGAAAAATGCGAGAGTATGCTTCTCTCGCCGCTCTGAAGTAGCGGCTAACCAATGGCAAGGCGCCAGCCTTAGCCGCGGAAGACAGGAGCAGATGTTGCTGGACGGCGCAGTCGTGCATGTTTCTTGCATATAATGGTGTAAAAATAGACGGGTTGTGTCGCCGGCCAGGTGCCAGTTCCATCGAGGGCAACAAATGCAAGCATTGTTGTGAGTTGGTGGTATGCCCACGATTGAGGTGCTGTGTTGCTGTGTTGGTTTCGGGGACCACCTTGACACACAGCAGATACTGTGTGCCCATGCACCGAAACTGGACTGTCAGTCTAAGATCGTCGTAGGTTTTTCGGGGGTTTGGAGCAGCAACTCTCTGCATGATGGGAAATGACGAAAGCAACGAGCACCTATTGTTGCAGCCCTGCAAAAAAAATCGCCAGAAAGCTCACCGATGCCGCCATGGTTGTTGGACACTGCCAGAGGCAGTCACACCTAAAGCTGTGGGCGTGCGAATGGGCGCTGTGTGGAGGCCCCACGGCTGGGATAAAAAAAACAGTGCATGGGTCTCTTCGCATATGTCAGAGGCCCCTTTCGCGATTGCCCAAGATCAGAGAGGTGCCAGTGTCAAACCCGTTTACCGACCCAAAGCAGCTAGAGGGAGGGAGGGGAACGGTGACATCACACGAGGTACGTGGGAAACGAGCTGGATATATACCTGCGCGTCTACAGCATTGTTTTACATGTTAGAGGACTGCTGCGTATCTCTGGACATACTGGTCAGCGTGCCCTCAACGAGATCGCCAACACTGCTGTCACAGCCTCCCCATGCGGTCGTGGAGGCTGGCTGCCTAAGGGATGCCAGCTGCGGAACGGGCACATGAAGAGGGAAATCTGCACCCAGCATGCACTCAGCGACATGACCAAGGATTATCACAGGATGGGCGGCCATGGAGTGTGCCCAAAACAGGCAAGCTTGAATACTCTACATTAGCGGCAAGCCGGAGTTTCGCGGTCAGGAGTGCATGCATGCGCACAAAGATATGGTCATCGGCAACACGACTCGTGCTCGGGAGGATCCTGAAGTAGCCAACCTCTCGCATGCCCAACAGCATTGATCGACGTAGTTAGCCGGCAATGTGCTCGAAACGGGGGAGCTGCTGCGCGGCAGGCAGCTGAAAGAAGTTGTATCAGGAGCATGCGACGGGTAAGATGTGACGGGTACGTACCTTTTCGGTAGGAGGAAAAAGGTGACTTCAGTCTGCCTCCATGAACAGCCCCCGGCAGCACTGTATGCACCCTCGCGTGCCGCCTCTGGCGAGATGCCTGCTAATCACCCCCCCGAAGAACGGCGATCCAGTTGCTCAGACTATGACCGTGGAGCCAGACTGGAGCGCCATTGGTGTGCCGGCCATCACATCCGACTGCTCACGGAAGCGGCTAGCCAGCCCAGGTACGATCACGGCGACCGATAAATAGACGTTTCGGAATGATGGGAGTCCGCTATCTTCCATACGAACGCGGGCGGTCTACATAAATTAAAGCAGTCCCTACTGCAGGTGCTGGTACTACTACATACATCGCGTTTTGGCCTTCAGTACTCGCCTGACTCTATAGGTGGATGCCACTTTTCGTTATGAATTTGCATCTGGGAAACTTAGGTCCCCGGAACGACCTCCGATGACAAGGTGGTCATGGGCTGAGCAGACGCTTTTCTTATTCCCACCTGAGCCGTTGGCCATTTATGCCGTTTCTTTGTCCATTCTCGGGTGGGCATTCTTCTTTGACACACAAGCAGTGTGCCCGCCACAGTTGCGGGTTGTGGGAGGCTCAAGCGAGTCTGTTTCCGCTCCCGAGGTCGATGTGATTTCGATAGGAGAACGACCTTGATTCCATGCACAGTGGAGGACAACAGCTTGTGGTCCTCCTTCACAAAGCTGTGAATCGTCATTCCAACGAGATATATTGAGCAACAATTAAGAAGCACCTTGACCACGCTGCAACTGGAAGCAATCGATGATGCGGGAGTGTGCCGCCTTCTGCACGCTGACTTGACCTATAGTTTGGAGCCATCGCTGTACCTTCTCAGGCACACGGCCGAGGACATGTGCCGCCTATATCAATATCAAATCTGCACTAACCGAAAGAGGTACCAACATAACCCCCTACAGACACACGCACACACGCACACACACACACACATCCTAGAGATAAGATGAAAACGTCCGTAAAAACAATTCACCCGCAAGTATCCCCCAGAGTAAACCACCAAATATGAAACGACATTACGCAACACCCTATATGAAATGAACACAATGCTTCCAGCCAATGACAGGCACAATATTTCACTCATCAATCGAAAATCAAAGTAGCATACAGCCCTCCTGCTCAAACCGGTACCAATATCGTCCGTAGCTCGACCCAGATTTGCCGGCCGTATGTGCGCACCGCAATATTATTTCCTTCCCCCGGTCCCGTCCCCACAACCTCGTCCGAGTGCCGTACCCTTTAAGGTGCCCAAGAAATAAAGCACTTCGATATCTTCTGAAGGGTCGCCGAGGTTCTCCCTCCCAAGAACTATTCTGACCATTTATCCACTACACAGTACCACGTAACAAAATCCTTCAGGGAAAGCACCATTGCCAGGCGGACAAATGATGGCCGTGTACGCATGAACGGCCTTGCACATTTGTCAAACCACTGGCAATAACCTATGTGTTCAAAATCGAGTGCGTTGTTTATCAGAGTAAATTTACGAACGCCCACATGCCTAAAATTGCATTCCATTGGTGGCAATGTGATCGAGGATTCGGCGCAGGCGGCTCAGCAAAGGTTTTTCTTCATTTCCGAACGCCTGCGCCCTTCCCCCTTCCGGACGATTCTGCGAAGGCACCCGCAGTGCTGTCGATGCACTTTTTTCATGCACACAGAAGGTTCACCAAGCCGTCTGGCCTGTTCTGTTGCGGTCTTGGGAAACCAGTCGCAGAAGAAACCAAGTTGTAAAACAAATATGAAGATGAACACAATCGGACGCTGTCCAAGACAACAAGGCTCCATTCATAAGCGAAAGAGTAGTGGAGAACATAAGCAGGTGCCCCACAGTGCTCCGACTGTCGTGGCGTCTTTTCAGACGCACGGCTACGATTCCAAAGTTCCTTGATGCTCTCGATTCAGGGGTAGAGGCTACTGAAGCTTAGAAAGAAGCTTCCCGTCGCCAGTGCAATGGAGCCACGTAGTGGCACCAAGGGAATGCCAGTATCCTGTCAAGAGAACACGAAGAGAACGTATCGGGGTCATGAATATAGTTTTTGTTTGCTTAGGTTGGTAATCAGGAGAATACTACGTGGTTTCTCGAGTCATTGCTAGAGGGACACGTTTGAACCTTTGAAGCTTCATGACGATTCAATGCGATGCTCCCCAGCAACCTACTACCAACAGGAATCTGTCAACCGCGACTGATTCGAGTCCGTAACGATGGCATGATGCTGTGGGCCATTCCATGCGACCTTGTCCTTCAAAGTTAGTGCGATCCGTCGTAACAGGTTCGGGCCAACCTCGATCGCTCGTCCCAACAACACCCCCACGTCCACACCCCGTCACGTACAACGCACGCGGAACATCACACACCTCCACATAGAGCCGCCCACGATAGTGATCGTTGTAAAGGTGCTCCACCCTACCATTAGCACCACAGAAGGCCTGTAGGCTTTCGACGACGACCTGTTAGGTGTCGCCCCACAAAGAAGGAGGACAGTACGAGCCACAAGAAAAATGTAGAGACCAACTCGAACGGATCGATCAGCATTCTCCTTTTCGAAGCTTCCAGCAATTCCGACTTCACGACCAATGTACGGAAATTAGGCCATTCAGGCGAAGATATTGAAACATATCTCGTACCCCGCGAAAGGCAGGCGAAAGAATGGCCACCAAACAGGTGGGTCATAACAGAATACTCAGCAGACTCCGACCGCCACCGTGCCCTAGGCAGGCTTGGAAATCGGGCGCATAGGGCCTGGATGCACGGTTCGAACTGTCGTTCAGTATTATGTGCAGTCAATCTTGGAACTTTCTCTCGGAAAAAATCTAGACCACGGGCGGGCTGGGGTTGCTCGCGGATTAATGTCTTTGTTGTGTGGCACTATCGTAGAGAACTTAAGATGTCTATCTACACACTCACATGCTAGACTAGAAAAGTGGGAGAAGATGTTATCACCCACCTTGAAGCCCCTCCTCCCGATCGAATCCAGGCCGGCTCTGTCCCCATCAGGCGGTCCTTCAGCGCGTAAAGATGTGCGTAGTTGTGGGAAGAAGCACGAACAGAAACGAAACGCAGGTTTAACTTCTCCGCAGCGAGCAGAAGGGCCACTGTCGTTGTCCTCACAGTACCAACCGCCCTGATCTCTATGCTTGGACGAGGAAGCAATGAACTTGCCCCCCAAAAATACTCAAGAAACACGTGTAGGCCCGGACAACCCAGGTGCAAACGAACCGGTCGTTGACTTGAAAGTCCAGCAATTCGACGTGAAGCTAAATAAAGGATGCGAAGCAGCGTGTAACCACAAAGAAGCAGAAACAAGCGCGAGGCCTGCTAACACAATTTCTTGTTTCGCTCGGGCTTCACGTTTTTTCGGTTTCCTGGCGGTTCGCACGGTCAATACAAATCAAAGAGACACCCAAGAGCCAACTACGAGTGCAGACCAAGAACAGAAGATCACAAACGCGATGCAACTGTTTCGTGGGTGCAAGAAATGGCGGGGTGGCAAAAAACATCCACTGACAAAAGAGGCGAATTCATTGTTCTTTGCATGCCGTTGATGTATTCTGAAACCTTTCAATATCTGTCACAAAGGGGGTTGTTGACCGTGGAAATCGAGGGCTGCAATGGCAACGGGAATGGGGATAGGCGGAGTCTGTTTTCAACACATCAAAACAGCCCAACCAAACGAGTGCGCGAAGTCTTCCCCCCAATCTACCATCTGTGACACAGCATGCTCTTGCTTTGCATTGTAGGTGTAATACGCAGAAAACACAGATTTAAAACGAGAAACACTTCACTGGGTGGCACGAACCCTGTGCACAGACATCCCGTGGTGCTGTTTGGACCACATAGGCTTTGCGACGGTTACCACCAAGATTGAGGGAACCGCGAAACCCCTATAGTACCACAGCACCGAATCGGCCTTGAGATAAATCAGCAGCGTGATGGAGGTCGGCGCCATCAAACCCCTCGGGCAGGCTGCATGGAGGGAATGTGTCGGTCTGTTCGATTCCCCGATCATGTCAGCCTGCGCCCTGCGAATACTCGCGACCGTAGCGAAGTATCCATCATCGCATTTACGGAACCGGTGAGGAAGAACGGTCGGAAAACCTCCCGAGCGTCGACCGTGGTACACGACTATGCTAGCAGGACCGACGGGTGCTCTGCTTCCTACACAGGGTTCGACTCTTCACTGCCTACTTAGTCCGCAAAGACTGAACCTAGCGGGGCAGAGTTTCGAGCTTGGACCAGGAGGAGGTGATCTTGAACGTCGTGGACCTAGAGAAGGTGATCTCGAATCTCGTAGTTCGGTTCTCCGTAGATCGATACCATGATGGCGAAGCAAAACAAATCACGCAGTCGCGCAGTCTTCTACTGCCGGCACACGCACCGAAACTGCCAGACAGACAGTCCGCAGGCTCACGGCAGTGTCGTACACCTCACTCAAGACTCAACTAGAGAAGGGAGGACCGGCAGCCTCTCCGATGGCGACTTCCATTTCTCTCCTCGTGAGTTCTTCCCAGTCGCCGTCAGGGTATTCCACCCGCCAGTATTGCAGTAGTCGAACACGGGGGCCTTGACGACCTTGGGGTGGCCCTCGTTGTCGACAATCCCCCACCTGCTAGCGCCTCTCAGGAAGAGCGGCAAGGCATGTTCCCGTGACGTCATTTCGCGCGCACTTCCAGTGGGCGGTCCGGCAGGTCTTGGCGTGGCGTCCGCGCCATGGTACAGTATGGAAGACGTCGAGCTGAAGTGAAGAGAACCTGTCACCCGCCTCGTGTTCAGTCATCCAGTTCGTTCGCGCTTCGTCTTGTTAGCGGGCCTGATACTCCCAGGCCCACGCGGAGGTATTTCCAGCACGATACGCCACCCTTCTGGCCACCATCGTGTACAGGTGGACCGCGAGGACAGAGGTGGCCAGGCCGAGGTCAGCTGACCACACGAGGTGTGCGTACTTGTCCTCGAACGCCGGAGGTGCGGCGGTCGCATGTGGTACTGCTTGGTATCAGCGGCCACGACCCCGCGCTGGCGAATCCGTCGTCCGTTGAGTTGAACTGTGAAGCTCACGCGGTCCCGGATGGCGTTGATGACTCGCCACGGGCCCGCGTAGTGGTCATGCGCCAGGTTCGGGTAAATGATGCCGCGGTGGAGCGTGTTGCTCGGCCCGTTGGCGAGTACTCGTACGAGGCTTCTGCTAAGGATGTTGGCGTTGCGGCGCTCCCGCTGGCGATTTTGGGATTCATGGCGTTGTCTGAGGATCTCCTGGGCCATGCGCTGTTGATCGGTGACCGTTCTCTCGAGCCCGTGGCCAAAGGAGTCATCATCGAGGTCTTGGGTCACCACATTGATGTGGCTGCGTGGGTCCGACCAAAGAGTTATCGGTGCGACGACGCTCCCCTGGGAAGGGATGTATCCGGTGTGACGCGGTGGATCCAGGTGGCGACAGGGACAAATTCGTTCCATCGCCGGGGCCATGAAACGCACAACTGTGTAAGGGCCTCGCGAAGCCATCTCCCCAGCCTCTCGACTGCTCCCTGTGCTTGCGGGTGGCTAGTGGCGCCATTGTCCAGAGATACTCTCAACCTGCTGGAGAGGTGCTTGCATCACCTCCGCTGTGAACCCGTTACCCGGGTCGCATCCGATCGACAGGGGCACGCCGAAGATGATGAGGAGTTCTAGCAGCTTGCTGCTAACGCCAACTGCTTCCTCCGCCCGCACAGGAAACGCCGTGAGGAACTTGGACGCCCGGTCGACCACGACGAGTAAGTACCGGTTGCCCTTGTCCACCTCGAGGAGTTCCCACGGCTGGAAGAGTTGTGCCGGGATCATTCACAGTTGCTTGTTCCCCACCCGCTTCCTCCGGCAGCACTTGCAGGACAGGACGTAGGCGCGGACATACCTCTTCTCGATCATTCATTGCCGTGCGTGCACCCCTCGGATGTCCGTGCATACCGTTGACCAGTGCTACCACGGCAGGCAGGAGCTGTTTGAGCACAGTGATCGCGTACGTACGACCCCGTCGTGCGTGCCAGAGCCGGTTGTCGTCGGCAAGGACGTAGTTGCTATCCTCTCTTCGCCGCGCGTCCAATCCTCTTCGCAGGGGCTGAAATGAAGCATCTCATCGTTGCGCGTGCACGAGTCAAACGGTATCTCGTAGGGTGTCTCCCATCCGTGCCAGCTGAGCGGAGACTCCTCGACGCATTTCCGGCGTGTCCACGGGGATATGGTTGTCCGTGGTGTGATAAAAAAGGAGATCGATGTGTCTGTGTTTCTATTTGGGGTAGACTTAGTTCGGAAACTGAGTTTTGGTGACCTCTTCAATCGGTCTCTCTCAGGCTGAGTCTTACGGTGTGATTATTTCCGGATTGGATTTGGGGGGGGGCTCCTTTTCTGAGCCAAATAAATATTTTGGGCGTCTTAGGCCGAGTCTTACGTCGTGATTATTTCGGGTTTTTTATTGGGTGGGGGGGTCCTTTTCTCAGCCCAAATAATTATTTGAGCGTCTTACGCGGAGGAATTTGGCCAATTCCAAACGCCCAAATTCCAAATCGCCGAATATTTCCTAGGATCCCAGCTGCCGCGTTGGGCCTACAGTAGTGGGCCCTCTATAGTGCCGGTTGAATAGTGCCGGTGCCCGGTATAGTGCCGGTCAAATTTCTGGACACAGACAGCGCCCTCAATAGTGCCGGACCGGCACTATTGGGATGGCCCGTTATAGTGCCGGTTGGGCGCCGCTGTGCCCCCCAATAGTGCCGGTTCACTACCTGCTGTAGACACACACACACACTACCGGTCGCCCCGGTGGTCTAGTTGGTAGTATCCACGTTAACCTTCTAAGTTTCAGGTCATGGGTCCGAGCCCCGGCGATTTGTTTTTTTTTCTTACTTTCGTTCCTGAAAGAATTGGAAGCAATTTCTCCTGAATTCGTTAGTTAGTAAATGATGCCTTGGTGCATCAACTTCACTGTTGACGAGGGTGGGAGTACTGAACCCTCTCGCGATAAAAACAATCATAGGCATGTACCGCAGAAGGGGGTCCAGCCCCCCCCTCCTGTGTGACCCCGGTTGGTTGGGTCGTCTAGCTAGTCAGTGAGGATGTGGGCCAGTGGGGCAGACGACAGAAACAATAATGAATGGGAGAACAAAACAAACACACACACACACACATGTGTGGAGCTATGGCGTGTATGTGTTGCTATTTTGTTTGAGTCATCTAGCTGCTGACACGATGACTGTTGGATCTTGGGAGTGTACGATTATCAAATTGGGAGATGCAGCATACCACGATATCCTGGTTTCGGCTGGGCTTGAATTAACCCTTTTTTATTTTGCTGTCCTCCGCTCTTTGGGCTTCCTAGGTTCGGGCGAGGGCATTTATTTGTGTATAGCTGAGATAGATGTGTGTCTACATGAAATATATATATTT